ACGGTGAGTTTTCACAACTGCATGTGTAGCATTTACTCTTATAACAGATATCAATGAATGTTCTGTTAACAATGGAGGTTGTGAAGATGTTTGTACTAATACCATTGGAAGCTACACATGTTCATGTCAATCAATAGGATATCATTTAGATAATGATAAACATAACTGCTCAGGTAATAATTATAAACATTACCTTATTCTAAAATAAAATGTACAACAGATACTAATGAATGCTTCATTAACAATGGTAATTGTGGACATACATGTGTTAATACTCCTGGTAGCTATCACTGCAACTGTGATGATGGATATAGTTTGGATGCTGATAGTCATAATTGTTCAGGTATTGGATATAACTTATAGCCACGTTAACAATATTTTTAGATATCAACGAGTGTACTAATGATAATGGAAATTGTGGGCATATTTGTACTAATACCAAAGGAAGCTACAGTTGCTCTTGTTATGATGGATACCAACTAGAAATTAATGGGAAGAACTGTACCGGTGAGTATTGATATGAAAGAAAATTTTTCGTGCAATGATTAACATGCATACATGGCTTGCAATTATGAAATTCTAAATTTTGAATAGTCTATCTGATTTATTACTTCAGTTAGTTTCAATTTTCTATAGATATCAATGAATGTAACAGTGGTGATGCAGGATGTGAACAGATTTGTACTAATGAGGTACCTTCCTTTAGCTGCTCCTGTACTACTGGTTATAGGTTGTACAATGAGCAATTCTGTTCAGGTAATACTTAATTTACTGATGGGTATCTGTTCACTTTCTTGCTATAATGAAGATATTGATGAGTGCAGTGAAGGAATATCAGGTTGTTCTCAGTTATGTACTAACACTATTGGTAGTTATACATGTACTTGTCATAATGGTTATCAACTCACTAATGATAATCACACTTGTACTGATATTGATGAGTGTACTCTTAATAATAATGGAGGATGTGAACAAACATGTCATAATACTGATGGTAGTTATTATTGTTCCTGTGCTAATGGATACTCTCTAAACACTAATGATCACAACTGTACAGGTATACAATCTACAGTTGATACTATTGTTTTATTGTAGCTATTTCTAGATATTAATGAGTGTCTTCATCACAATGGTAACTGTAGCCACAGCTGTACTAATATTCCTGGTTCATATGTTTGCTCTTGCAGTATTGGATATAACTTGGATATTGATGGACAGAACTGCTCTGGTTAGTATAACTGTGTAATTTTATTTGTATATAAACTATAATAGATATCAATGAGTGTGATACTAATAATAGTAAATGTGAACAGGACTGTATCAATACAATAGGAAGCTATCAGTGTCAGTGTAGAGAAGGATATGAGACTAATAACAATGGAATCAACTGTACAGGTAAATGTATATTATTTATTGTTATCAATTATTGTTTTATGCTTAAAAGACATTAATGAATGCATTGCTAAAAATAATGGAGGATGTCAACAAATATGTACAAACACAAATGGAAGCTTCACTTGTTCTTGTACCTCTGGATTTAATTTGATATCAAACAAGTTTTGTACTGGTAAGAATATTACCTTAACAGTAATAAGTACCTTCACTTAAACAGATATAAATGAATGTGCTGTGTATAATGGTGGATGTGAACAAAATTGTCATAACAGTGTTGGAAGTTACAATTGTTCATGTAACAATGGCTTTAATTTAAATACTGATGATCATCATAACTGTACAGGTAAAATAATTTGTTTTAATTTGTTTATTAATTGAATCAATCCAATTAGATATTAATGAATGTATGACTAATAATGGAGGATGTGAACAGAGCTGTCATAATACCATTGGTAGCTATTATTGCTCGTGTAACAATAATTATACCCTCAATTCTGATCATCATCATTGTGATGGTATAATTGAATATTAATTTTACTCATACAATGGGGCATTTTATAGATGCTGATGAGTGTTCTCTTGGTATCAGTGGATGTGATCAAAACTGTGTCAATACTAACGGATCATACTTGTGCTACTGTACTTTTGGATTTCATTTAATGAGTGATCAGAAAGCTTGTTCTGGTACCAAAAATATAAATTACTACTTAGTCATTTTATTCTTTTTTAGATACTAATGAGTGTTTAACACTCAATGGAGGATGCAGTCAGGTATGTGTTAATACACCAGGAAGCTATAACTGCTCCTGTAATGCTGGATATCAATCTATTGGACAAGATTGTGATGGTACAATGCTTTTAACATTGATAATAATTTTTGCTGTTATCTTTGTTAGATATCAATGAGTGTCTCAATGGTACTCATCTTTGTGAACACAACTGTTACAATACTAATGGTAGCTATGTGTGTGATTGTCAACCTGGTTATAATTTAACCAATAATGGTCTATCATGTTCTGATGTTAATGAGTGTGATACTGGTAATGGTGGTTGTAGTCAAGTGTGTATCAATCAAGTTGGATTTTATTATTGTCAGTGTAATACTGGATATACTCTTGATGATGATGGGCATGGATGTACAAG